AAAAATACGGAACAGGATCTGTGCTAGGGCCATCTAGGGCCTGCGAGGGCTAGGCACCCTAAACATGAAAACCACCTGAGTAAAGTTTGTCACACAACAAGGAAGGGGCAGAACCTTGACCTCAGACTGTCAGAAGAAACAGCAAGTCCCTAGCGTTAGGGGTTGACGGTTTCGGGTTCTGGCGTCTTCCTTCGAGCCGATTGGGCCTCAAACCCTTAAAACACAAAATGCACCAAACCCCTTCTTCTGCCGCCCGCTCGCCCGGACTTCGTCACCAACTGTGGGCCAAGAAGTCCCTGGCCATGGGATATTATTGGTCTTGGGGATCTTCGGAGTTTTGGGCATAGGATCGGGCCCATTAACCCGCGAAAAAGTTGAGCTTGCGGGGGGAGAGTTCTAGGTATCATACAAAATATCCATGTGAGGTATCCTGATTTAGCGCCATCCCCCCTAACCCCTGCAAACCCTCCCCGAACCCCTAAGCCCTAAAGCAGCTCTGGGGGCCCTGCTAAGTCTGAGAAACCGCGTGAAACCGCGCGGACAAGTGAGAACAAAATTAGAAAGTGGCAGTAACGTGATCAAAGTGATAACCCTCACCCTTTCGTCTCAGTCTCACTTTCCTCTTCGCTTCCTGTCTCATGTTATTCTCGCTCCCTGTCTCATCTTACTTTCACGCAACGCTCACTTTCTGTCGCACGTTTGCTCACTTTGCAGTTGTTCGGGACACTCAGGTTTAAACCGCGAGCGGATGTCCTAAGCTTAGGCGGGTTGGATGGGGCCACAAAAGTTGGTTTACCTTAAACCATAAAAGACCAACATGCCGGAGAAGCTTAGTTAGAATTCTTGGCGCGCTTCACCTGGACAGTTGGTATCGTGCTTCCACAAAAAAGCTCGTGATGAAGAATGCTCTTTCAACTAAGTCCTAAAGTTTCCCACACACGATATACGCTTGGGACGGGTTAAGTGAAGGGCTCCGGTCGCGAGAAACGTCCTCACATTTCGGAGAGCCCTTGACCACTGCCTTCTTGACTTCTTGGCAGCTCCCACTACCCAATCTTCACTTGGCAACAAGCGCCACGAGCCACAACAAAAGTTGTTGCACCGCCTGCTGGCACGGCAACCTTGTCCCGTTCGTTCATAGGGCTTCAGGAAGATCACAGTCACTTACGCTGCGTTTGCAGGCTTACGGGCTGCTCTTCCGTCATCTGTTTATCAGCAACCCGACCCATGTGGTGGTTTACGAAAAATCTTGTTACGTGCCCCGTTAATGTTAAAACTACGAAGTGAACTTAATTATTGTATTTGCAAGGAATTTAAGACGCGCGAAATACAATAATGGAGAGAACGAAGTACACGGGCTAGTAATGTAGTATATTTTCATGCGTAATCCTTATAAAATATACTAAATTATAAGCCCTTACAATATCATTATTATCGCGGCTTCACGAATAAACTTATTGCCGCGTGTACAGATAATAGAATAAAAGATAGAAAGTTGTCTACAGGAAAATGACCACCTATCCAAATAAAAGAAAAATTAGAAGCATGTGGATTACTTACCCCTTTACATATAGTACCTGAATGGTATTTCTTATGCCAATATGCTATGTTAAAAGCTGTACCAAATAAAAATGCAGGATTCATCATCTTATTTACTTCTATCTTCATCCTATTTTACTTTATGAGAAGTCTTTCAATGTCATTCTATTTTATAATTAAGACGTCCAGTAGATTTAATGGTTTTCATCTGTGCTTTTGGTTTCTTATCTGGATGTGAGAAAGAAGAGAAGCCGAAATGAATTTGAGGAAGATATAGATAGAGAATTAATATCTTTCCATAGAAATCTTTACTAATAGTGAAAGGAGAAATGCTATTTTATTATTAGTGGAATTCCTTAAAAGATTATTAGCAGATAGAAAACGTAGATGAAAAATATGAAAAAGAAGAAAAGCACAAAGAAGAAATGGAAATAGAAAATGAAAGACAAAGAACCTCTATGTTGGATTGTAAATATAATGTCCTCCACAAAGCCATTCTATTAAAGGTGGAAATGGAGATAACAAACTTGTAATTACTGTAACTCCTCATAAACTCATTTGTCCTAAAGGTAACACATAACCCATAAATGCTGCTCCCATTAAGAAGAAGTTAATTCTAATTCCAGAAAACCAAGTATTTGGATTATAAAAATATGAAGCATAAGATATAGCTCTTCCAAGATGAAGAAATGTAAAAAGAAAGACAAATGATACACCATTCATCCTAAATTCTATCAACATTTATTTTGTTTTTTTTGACATCCAGAAGTTTACATCTTAATAATTTCTGCATTTGGGATCATTTCCATAAAAATTTCTGGGATTTTACAACTAATGATATTTGGCAACCAATCAATGATCTTTGCCATGTCATCTATTTCTCTTCTTGGAAGTCTGGTTTGGGGGCATCATATGTATACTGCAGGTTTAGAAAGTGATACAAGAGCTTGTTTTGCAGGAGTTACAATCTTAATATCCTTACCAACTGGTACAAAAATCTTTAGTTGGCTTTTTACATATCTTGGAAATCCACCATTATTACACCTTAGAATTAGTTCTGTCTTCTTCTCACATCTCTTTTATTTATGTTTACTACAGGTGGTTCTGCAGGAATACTTCTTGGAAATGCTGCAGTAGATCTAGGATTACATGATACATATTATGTCGTAGCACATTTTCATGTTGTACTTTCTTTAGGAGCTATAATTTCTATCTCTGGAATATTTTTAATGGAGAAAAGATTGTTGGTACTAAGAATTTATTACTTTCATCCTCTGGTACACTTTCTCTTTTTAATCTACATTTAACATTAATTGGTATTCTTCTTGCCTTTTCCCCAATGCATTTCTTAGGATTTAATGTTATGCCAAGAAGATTACCATCCTTTCCAGATTCTTTTAATTCCTGGAATTCCCTGTCATCTATTGGATCAGGAATAACTTTCCTATCTTTTGGTTGTTTCGTTCGCCATGAATAATATTATTCATGTGTCCCAACTTCGTACGTCCGTATAATAATATTCTTCCTGTCTCTCTTCACTATACTATTATTAGGATTATGAAAGCACACCAGTTCACGAATTAGCTTATTGTTTCGGGCCAATGAAAGAATACTAACTGGCCCGTATTCATAGTTGTAGCATAAATGACCTCTTTAATGCACTAGTTCTCTACATTTATATCTTCTGGAATTACTATTAACGGGGGCATTGTAGAGATTATTAAAGGGCCCCCGGTATATTTTTAGTACGAACGAAGTAAGTGAGCGAGAGAACGAGATTCCAAAAATTAAAATTGCGCGCTCATTTCATTCGCCTGTAAATACAAAATAATATGCTCTGTTCCTTATCCTTTAATGCGGCCAATTAGTTAGTCTTTTTATGAGGCCGCAAAGACCGTAACATTTTCTATCAAAAGGATAGAACAATAATAGTATTAATTTTGGGTTTTTGCTCACCAGTCAACTTTCCTCATTCGCTTCGCTTGTTTGCAATTTAATAATTCTTGCAAAAACCCCAAATTAAAAGTACAATATTATTATTAAGGGATTCATTCACTTCGTTCATTCGTGCTCTCATTGCATTCGCTTACTCACTCACTACGCACGCCTTCCCTTTGGGCAGCCTAAACCCTAAACCCTGAACCCTAAACATGTGCACCGAGGGTGCATGGTTTGGACCACCGCAAGCATGTAAGCAGCAATTCTGGTAAAATTATAAAGGGACCGTAGGGGTTGGGGCCACTCTAGTCTAATCATACCATAAATGACCATAAGGGAATGCTGAAATCCCTAAACCCTGAACCCCACCGCCGCCTCAGACCAATGAGAGCCTGCCATTGGGGTGGCTGCCGCTGCTCCTGTCGGAGCGTGAGGGAAGGAAACACATCCCTGAACGCCTAAACCCTCAACCCTACGTAAACCGTAAACCCCTAACCCTCTGAACCCTCTGAACCCTCTAAACCATCTAAACCCCCTAAACCCTCTAAACCCTCTCAACCCTCTAGATCTCTAAGCCCTCTAATCCTCTAAACCCTCTAAACCCTCTCAACCCTCTAAACCCTCTAAACCCTACAAACCCAATAAACCCTATCAACCCTATAAACCCTATCAACCCTATAAACCCGTATAAATCCTATACACCCCATAATCCCTGCAAACCCTGAATCCAAAAAGGCACGTTCCAGAAGGGTCCTGCAATCACCCCGCAGAGCCTGGCGTTCCTTCAATCGTTATCGAAACCCTAAACCCTAAACCCTAAACCCTAAACCCTAAACCCTAAACCCTAAAGGCTTCTAGACTTCGGGGGGCACCTTGGGGTTGTGGTAAGGAGGGCTTGGGGGCCTAGAGTTTTAGAGTGGAGGATTGCGCGCTTAAGAGTGAGGGCCTTGGGCTCAGGATTTAGGGTTTCGGGTTGAGGGTTTGGATCTACTTCAGCCCGAAGCCCGTGCGCCTGCTCCTGCAGGGATGCCTCGGCGTCTCTGAAGGGAAGGTGGAAAGGGAGATAAGGGGAAGGGAGAAGGGGCAAGGGAAACGGGGAGGTCCATAACCCTCAAGTCCTGCACCCCACTCAAACCCTCACAACACTTGCACCAGTACCCCAAACCTGCACCCAAAAACTCGAAACTCAGCACGACAAAGCAGCCTGGCTTGGAACAGCAAAGCGCACCTACCTACCATGGAACCCCAACCTTCTAGCCACGAACCCCGCAATCCTAGCCTCGGGTTCAGGGCTTCGGGCGTTGTTTTTTTTGGGGAGGGGACGAGGACTTCTCGCGCCAAAAACGAGCCCACCAATTTTGTGTAGGATTTGGGGTCTGGGGTCTTGGGCTCTTAGGTTCTTAGGATCTTGGGTTCAAGCGTTCCGCGGTTCAAGCCCCTTTTTGGTCGTCGAGCCGGGCCCTGGTTTAGAACTCTAAGTTAAGAGCTTGAACCCTGAACCCTAACTTTAGGGTCACAAGAAGTCAACCGGGACCACGGCCATTGAAGAGGTACTCCACTGCACGGTCCGGGTTGTTGAAGGCGGCGGCAAGGGCCTGGGAGGCAGTCAGCAGCGAGCAGTGGAGGTGGCAGAACGCGAAGCCGCTCCAAACGAAACCATAGAGCCTCCTACTGCCGCGACAAACATGCCATACTGCAGAGGAATCACCCTAAACCCTAAACCCTAAACCCTAAATAATGCTTCAGCAACAACACGTAGACGCGATAGTCGCCCTAGTTGAAGGGGCCTCCTGCACCTTGGACCGCTCGAATCCCATGCCGCAGAGCTGGGTGATCATAGACTCGTCCGCACTGCCACCTTTGTGCAGCTGTCAGTTTAGGGTTTGGGGTTTAGGGTTTAGGGTTTATGGTTTAGGGTCTAGGGTTTAGGGTTTAGGGTTTAGGGTTTAGGGTTTAGGGTTCAGGGTTCAGAGTTCAGGGTTTAGGAGCTTAGGGTGTAGGAGTGAACGGATTCAGGGACGTACGGCTTTAGGGCTTAGGGGACTCTTCTGGCGCTTGGGATCGAAAGATTCGAGTTCAACGTGTAGGTCTGAAGGCCATGCGGGCGTAAGCATATGTAGGGGTAGAAGGTATAAAAGGACGCCCTCATCGTCCCAGAAGCAGGCCTGAACCCAGCTGCCTCCCCAACAAAAGCTCGTCGTCACCCTCCAGCTGCAGATTTCGGGTTTTGGGGGTTTGGGTTTTGGGGGCTTGGGGTCTACCCTAAACCCTAAGCCCTAAACCTAAACCCTAAACCCTTTTTAAGGAGTTCGGCCTGGAAGTTGGACTCAAGGACAACAGCCAGCACCCTCAACTGTCAAAAAACCTTGGGCCCCTCGAATGCAAAGCCGAGCCACGAACCCAAGGGACCACCTTACAATCCTCATGTGCAGGAAAACTGCACGGCTTAAAATTTGACCCTGACATTTTAGCGGGCTAAATCCAAATGAAAATACAAGGCGCCTGCTACCAACAACAACGTAATCACGGCTTCACTGGAATCGAAAGCCTTACTCACCTTACGAGATTCTTTGACCTTACAATGGCCCTATTCATGTTACTCAAGTGTACTTCGATTCTTGAACCAACACGGCTGGCCTCATTTATTTTGCTAAGTTTCGTTCCACTGCCCCTAGTCCCTCAACTCACTGGCCGCGCCGCCCGCCGCAGGTGCAGGTGCAGGCGTGACGGGTGCTGGGGGCGGTGATGCCTGCTTGCCCCAGGCTTTGGATTCTTTGGGTCTTTTTGATACGAATGTGCGTGGATTTGGGGAGGAGATGGTGATTTTGGGGGGTATGTTTATGTGGCTGTGGTTTCCGCCTTTGTGCTTTTGAGTTTGGGGCTTAGGGTTCCCGAAACCCTTCGTGACCTGAAACCCTAACCAAACATCACCACCCCTGCTTGCCCTAAACCGTAAACCCTAAACCCTAAACCCCTTCCTGCCTCCGCTGCCTTCTGGGATGCCGGAGGTACGGCGACCACGATGTCCCCAGTGTGAATGCCAAGTTCTTTGAGCACCTCGTGGGTTGGTGTGGTATGGTTTAAGGTTTAGGGTTTAGGGTTTAGGGTTTAGGGTTTAGGGTTTAGGGTTTAGGATTTAGGGTTTAGGGTTTAGGGTTTAGGGTTTAGGGTTTAGGGTTTAGGGTTTAGGGTTTAGGGTTTAGGGTTTCGGGTTTAGGGTTTAGGGCTTAGGGCTTAGGGTTTAGGGTTTAGGGTAAAGGGTAAATTAGGTTTAGGGTTTAAGGTAAATTAAGATTTAGGGTTTAGGCTTTAGGGTTTAGGCTTTAGGGTTTATGGTTTCGGGTTTCGGGTTTCGGGTTTAGGGGTTAGGGTCTAGGGTTTAGGGTTTAGGGCTTAGGGCTTAGGGCTTAGGGTTTAGGGCTTAGGGTAGTTTAGGATAGTTTAGGGTTTAGGGTTCTTCATGTGGTTGAAGGCATTCTTGTTGTTTCCAAGGTCTTTCATAGGCTTTAGCGCTTGAATTTTTGTGTCAAAAGAGGCTTCGCGAAAGGTGGCTGGCCTCATCGTGCTTCAGGACCTTGCCTTTGTGGACCAGTCTTGGCAAGTCCTGCAGATGTGCGGCATGCCCAAAGCCCGAGGTCTAACGCCGCAACCCTGCCTGGGCCCAAGCGTCGCAGGGTCAGGGGTTCTCAAGAGCCCAAAATCCGTCCTCCTCTCCCACCTCGGGCTTCAGTGAGATGAGCAAGACTGCCTCACAGGTGCCAGATTGAGATGCTTGCGGCTTCCACGTTTTCCAGGGTTTGAAAAACCGGGAACCCCAAACCCCTGCTCCCGCCGCCCCCCCGAGTCCAGGTTCACATGGTGCTCAGAGGTGAGATGTGCCGACGATTCTGCGACATGACCCCAGAAGTTTGGGCTTTGACCACCCAGCTCTTTCGGACGCTCCTACTCTTCTACAGCAATGATACCCTCCATCCTGGGGCGCCAGAACCCTGAACCATGAGTCCCTATCCCCCTTGGTACAGGATTCCGCGCCTTCGGTGTAAGCGTGCCAAGTCCAAGCCCCGAGGAACCTCAAAACCACCCAAAAAAAAAAAGCCTCAAAACCCCGCAAGTTCGGGCTTGAGGGTGACAAGGCTTTCGGGACTTTCAGACCCCCAACGCCCCCTCAACGTCATAAAAGGTTTAGGCTTCGGGGCTGAGGGTTCAGGGTATGCGCACCAGAGCTTCGACGGTCTCGTCCTCCTCGATCTCAATCGGAAAAGGCTCAGAAGCTCCAATTCGAATTTGCAGCCTCCAGCTTCGGGGGTTGCGTTGGGGCTTTTTTGTTGGGCTTTAGGGTTCTAAGGATTCTAAGGCCTTAGGGCTTTCGGGTTGGAGAGGTGTTTCGGGTTCGGTATTCAGGCAGCGGGCTTTGGGTTCAGGGCTCAAGGCTTGAGGCTTTGGGGCTCAGAGGAGGCTGCAGGACTGAGCGACTTCAACGTAGTCGGCTCTCTAAATTAGAAGTCTACAAAGAGAGGGATCAGAATTCAGAGCTCCGTCCACGCACCGGCAGGCGCTACCGAAGTGCTTCCCACGGTGTGGTCGAGTAAGCCCTGTACAAAGAGCTGCTTGCCGTGACCTCCATGCAAAAGGAACCTTGGGAGCTTAAACTCAAGGGCCCAAGACTCGTACCCCTAAGGTAATACCCCTAAAGGCTTCCCTTAAACTCCGAATATGGCCCTTATATTCCTCCCCAAACCGAAGGGCACAACCTTAGGACCCATGACAAACTACCCCCAATCCTCCAACCCTAAACGTCCGATCTCAGCGCGCGGCTCCAAGGGAGCCATGGAATCTCACGTACAAGCACACAAAGTACACAATAAAATGCGCAAGAAACCGTAAAAGCCAGGTCCAACATGAAGCTCCAGGTGTCCTTCAATTTCAAGAAATGAATCTGAAAGAAGCCCTAGACCCTTCAGGGCCAGAAACCTCAAAACACAATTGGCATCTTCGGCTAACCATGTCTTTCTGAGTCAGGAAAGTGCGTCCCGACGTTTGAGCCAGTGGGAAGGGCGCAGCTGCATCATGCCCTGAATCCCCCCCCCCCATTCCTGTTTCTGCACCATGGGCTCTTAGCGCAAACACCCTCTGCGTCGTAGGCTCAGCAGCCCAGAAGGGCCCAAGGGATTTTGGGGCTCAAGCACGGTCCTTGTCCTGTGGATTCGCGACTATTCATGGTTACCCAATGTAATTCTATACCACTCATGTCTTGAACTCTGAACTACTCGGAGGCAGGGGGGGGGAGGGGGGTCCAAGCCCCTAAGGGGTTCCAGGGTCTGAGTACGTCGGGCCGGGAACTTCGGGGTCTGAGGATTTCTGCAATGATCATCCAGCAATCCACATGTCCTGCAGACAGAATGACCAAGCGTTTCAGACACAGACTTGGCCCAGACACCGCATGTAGGCACGCCGGGTTCTGCGTGTTTAAGCTTGAATTCGGGTTTCCTTCCTTAAGTCTAGTGACTCACGGCACACGGTCTTCAGTAGGGCAACGGCCATAAAGACAACTTTGCCGGCACAGTGATTTGATATTTTGCTGGGTCAGGCGAGCTGTCCTTCCAAGCGCAAGTCTTTCGGGCGCCATTCGGCGCCCCAGTAAAACCAATTGCAAGGTCCCCCCCTGTACACGGCACTCAACGCTAAATCCATCTCAAACTCCGGCAGCATGCAGCGTGCTGCCACTTGTGATCAGCCGTGATGGACGTCCCCTTGCACAGAAGAGGGCATGCGTCTGCAATGCCATGATCCCGACCACCGCCAAGGCAAAGAGGAGCCACCCGGGCCGGAAGGCACCCACAAAGGGTGCCGCCAGGCTGCCCATCACCAGGCCCCAGCAGAAGTAGACGTAGACGTACACAAGGAGCCCGCACAGGAAAGACACAAACGTCTGAAAGCAGAGGCCCCGATCTCCCTGAACCTGAACCACCTTCAGAAGCCTTAAGAGCAGTGGGTGGGCTGTAGGAAAGACCAAGCCCAGACTCACAACCCAGACGGCCGTGTTCAGGGTCATGTACTGCCACACGTGGCCTTCAACTCCAGAGTCCCTGGCGCTCTGGTCGCAGGGCGCATTGTCGCAGCCCAGGGTGTTGACAAGGGCAAGCAGGATCATGGGCAGCAAGGTCACGAGTGAAAGGTGGTAGGGGACATGCCTCAAGGCTCTAGCCACAGCATTTTCTTACAGAAACCAACACAGCACGGGCCCCAACTTTTGAGGTTTCCACCATGTAAGGGTTGGACAGAAGCCTAAACAGCTTGAAGTGAAACGACCACCGGACCCGGACATGTTTGCAGCGGAGAGGCAGCTCGTATCCGACCTTCTCCGACACGGCCGCATACAGCGATCCCTGCACGCAAGCATTGAATCGCTCCAAGCCTGATGCACAAGAGCCAAGAGAACTCGCGGACAGCAGCTTCTCTTCCAGCCTGTCCGTGGTGTCTGCGGTAGATCCGGTGGGCGTTGCACGCTTCGCCGCATCGGAATCGAAATGCCTCTGCCGAGGTAGCGGCTTCAGGCTCTGGGGCTGAGAATGCTGTGGCTTTTGGGGCCTGTGGGGGTTTAAGAGTTTAGGGTTAGGGTTTAGGGTTTGGGGTTTAGGGTTTAAGGTTTAGGGTTGAGGGTTTAGGGTTTCGGTCAGTCAAGGAACCGCGAGATCTGCGCCTCAATGCTCTCCCGATCGGACGCCAAGGTGCACTTCGCACGTCGCACGTCATAGCCCGACAGCTGCTCCAGCATCAGGGCATGTCTCCGGAGCTTCTGCGTGAAGGAGAACATGCTTGGTATGGCAGCTGGAAGGTACCCCAATCCAGCAAACCATCCTATCATGAAGTAAGTGCCAAAAACCGTTGCCCCCGAATCCGCCCCGAAGAAGGAAGATAGGAAGTGATGAATGAACGGCATGTATGCTGTGGACCAGTTTGAGAAGTAGTCCTCTCGCAGCTGGAAGGATATAGCACAGCAAAGATCCACAAATACCGTGCACAACAGCCATGGCGCCATCCAGAGCGGAACAAAGTCAACATGCTCAAAGCCTCTAAAGTTGCGGGCGAATAAGGAGACCTCCAAGCTACAGAAGAGGCGCTCAAAATAGGCGTCGTCCCAAAGGATGAGCATGCGCCGGGACCGAGTGATGATGTCTGGAAGCGCGGATATCGCCTGCTGCTTACTTGCAGCATCCCTCTGATCGACGCACACCTGGCCGGCCCAACTCTTCAAGAGCTCAAAAAGAGTGCTGTGGCAGCAGCTCACGATTTCCTCAAACGCACCTGATGGCTACAAAACCCTTCAACCCCCAGAGCCCAAACTTCTCAGCCCCTAAAGCCACCTTGTCCAGCCAAAGGGAGCGGCGCCACAGCTTGCTGGCGAGGAGATGGCCCCAGAAGAAGGTGACGAAGAAGGCCATCATGGGTCCATACCTTCTTAGAGGGGGACCGAAACAGGAAGCCAGGCATAAAGCTGCTCCGGGCTTCTAGTGAGGTGTGGCTAGTTATGAGGTTCGGGCTCAAAGATGTGAGACTCAGACGACAAGGTTGCCGAGAGAGACAGCGGTTTAGGGTGGACTCAGATCCCAGAACGCTGACCAAGACAGAACCTGCGAATGTTGGGCAAGCCTCCGCAAAGTACTCACGGTGCGCTTGCACATGTTCATACTCGGCTTCCTTAAAACCCAAGCTAAACCTAAACCCTGAACCCTAAACCCTGAACCCTAAACCCTAAACCCTGAACCTTAAACCCCTCCTAAGATTTCAGAGGCAAACGCCAAGACGTCAAGGTGCAGGAGGAGCCACGGCAGCCACCTGTCGCTGATCGGGCTCGGAGTCTTATTTGGGTCTTGAGGTCGAAGAAAGTCGAAGCCTGAACCCTAAAGGATTTAGGGTTTAGGGTTTAGGGTTTAGGGCTTAGGGCTTAGGGCTTAGGGCTTAGGGTTTAGGGGCTCCTCCATGCTGCAAGCACCCGGAAAGCTACGGTAAGGAAAATCAGGGATGGCATGTGCAATGTTTCGCAACGAATAGGCGCTGAGAATGGAATTGGGGAGGTCTCCCGCACACCCAACCTCCCGAGCCAAAAAAAAATCACAAGACACGAAACAAGGGTTTAGGGTCTAGGGTCTAGGGTCTAGGGTTTAGGGTTTCAGGTTTAGGGTTCAGGGTTCAGGGTTTAGGGTTTAGGGTTTAGGGTTTAGGGTATAACTCCTCTTCCTGGCCTGTTGCCACCCCAGGCCGTGCAACTCCCGGCCGACAGGATCAGCATTGCGGATGCCAGCATTGCCAAGCCGAGGGAAGTCTGCCCACGCTGGTTCATTGGGCTTAGGGCCTAGGGTTTAGGGTTTAGGGTTTTGGGTTTTGGGTTTAGGGTTTAGGGTTTAGGGTTTAGGGTTTAGAGCTTAGGGTTAAGGGTTTAGGGTTTAGGGTTTAGGGGCTACGCGCAAAAAGATCAACGAGAACAAACGAGTAGGATCCGTACGATTCCAGGGTGGGGGACCGCCTTGCCAAACCTCATCGGGCACAGACGAGGGGAAGATGGCACGATGCCTTCCTTCAACAGGCCAAGGGGAAACCATCAAGAATGCGCGCTTCCTCCGCCCTTTCAGCTGATGGAACGTACGGGGTAGTACCCAAATGGTGTAGGTAGGGCTTCAGATTCGCAGAGACCTAGTGCCCGCTTCTGAGCCTTTCCCAGTCTGGCGGGGTCCTAGACCGTGAATTTCTGGAGCACTACCGAATTTAGGATCCTCACGCCTGAAAACCTAACCCCTGAACCTGCTCTGGCTCTAGTCTCATGCTTGCGATGCTGGACATCTCAAAAATCAGCCTGAACGAACGGGAACCCCGAACCCCAAAACCTTAGTGACTGCTGTCCACAAACGTCGAGTATAGGCTCGCTGTCATACACATAGTTACCCGTCAACTTCCTAGACAAGTTACCCCCCTCCAATTACTTTGCGGTCAAGCAAAGGTGGGGGTGTGGGCTCAATTGACAGATGCGGCTTCGCAAGATTGGGCTTGAAGCACACCCGAAACCTTAAAGCACTAGACCCTAAACCCTAAACCCTAAACCTTCAATCCCTAGACCCTAAACCCTAAACCCTCAAACCCTAAAGCCTAAGACACTTGAACTGTGGCCTTGACAGCCAGGCTGAGATTGAAGTACATGCAGAGGCCCAAGTGCTTCGCCCAGCGCCCTCCGCCCCAGTTGTGGCTGATAAACACGTCGACGCTTGGGCCTGCGACGGTGTGGGGGAACATAGCCGCACCTCGGCCGAAAGTTGGGATGTCCCCCTCACACTAACAGTCCTGAACAGGGATTCTAGTACCCCCTGTTATAATCCCTACTAAGGACTGCTAGTATAGAGGATTCAAGGGTTTTTGGGTTCTGGGATCAGGGTTCAAGTACCACAGACGCAACGGAGGCAACAGGAATATTATGTGTGAAGCCATGGGCTGCGTAGCAGTGTTTCCAGAATCAGAATCCTGGCACACAGCCAAGAACATCCTCAAAAGGCTCAGCCCACACTGCCGCCCAACCCGGTGAAATGGCCATTTCGGGCATCTTAGAGGCACAGTCTACTGGGAGCGGGCGGACAGGCGATGGTTTCCTTTCTGTGGGCTTCCTCAAGCACTGGATTCTCCGCACAATCCCCCCAGAAATCCCATTGCAAAAAAGCTACCAGCATCGAGCCCCTGTGCAAAGACCTTGCCGAAAGCGTGCAACACCTTCGCAGGGCTGAAGGTCGCGGGGTCGACTAAGGTTGCAGAGGGTCGACGATTGGCTGAGGTGGCCACCCGGAAACATGCCGGAGCAGCACGGAAGCTCCCGTAACATCCCGGAACCCAGAGTCAACTCTGTAAACCAGGTGTGTTCGTGGCTTTGGGTGGAGATGTCAAAGCCAAACTTCGCAAAAAAGTGGCCCCTAAGCGAAGACAAGTCGCACAAGTTGTTTCAACACTTCAGTTCTTGGCAACGAACCATGATCCCTCTGACCTTGAGCATTTCACCATGTAAGCTGACCCGCATCAAAGCAGAGAATTTAGCTCAGACACCGCAGAGCTCTGCAACGAAGCCCTTCAGAATAGTGGCGGCCTGGGGAGCGGCTGCAACACGCAGCAGGTCAGCTTGGCATCTGGCAGCGGGCTGCATGGCGTGTGCTGACGGAAAATGCACAGACCTACCCAGCTGCAGCAGCAAAAGCATCACAGCACTCTGTACTTTCGGGTGTTTCAGGGGGCCCTCCTCAACCTGAAACAACCAACACCCCGAGCCGTCCCTAAACCTAAACCGTGGCATTTCGACGTGGATATTGTGTGTCTAAAATCACCTTGCCCACACCAACCCCTGTGCTCTCCTTGCCTAACTTTCTTGCCCTCACAACATACTTCCGCAATCGTGTAACCGATTATCCCTCCCTCTGTTTGCAAGCGAACACTCTGAAAGAACTGGGGCACCTTTCCACCCTTGCAACTGACCCTTGAATCAGCATCCCCAAACTCTGGGCTAGAATCCTCTCTCTGCAAAAGCAACCAATCATGAAGCCATGGGGTCGGATCATCTTCCTTGTTCCCACAATCGTCGAGACAAGAAGATTCTTCTATTTCCAGAAAGATCAAGATATGTAAGACGATCGATAGGGACATGAAAATGGCCCGCCCTCCCGAATTGATCACTGAAATCAAAAGGCAGCCGAAACGCAACCAAAACATGTAAATACCAAAAATGGGAAGAGATGAAGACGTAACACCCGGAAATGGACGCAACAATCTAAGGCGTGTACTATTGCATGAGTAGTTCATTCCTGAACAACAAGAAAAACCCACCTTATCATTCCACTATGTCATCTCCCAGCTCTCAATATCCAAAATATCCTTAGAAGATCATAATCCGTAGAAAATGTTTCATTCATTTCAACAAGCATGAACTAACACTTCTAATTTAAGATGTATCTATGCCCCGCTGAAGCTGTCTTCTTACCATCATTCCCATTCTTTCCAACATCGGCAAGAATAACACAGAAAAACAAGAATCCTTTATTCCACAAATGCAGCAGTTTCGAGGTTAATATAGAAGACTTCGAGGAAAGAGGTCAACCAACATAAAACAAGAAATAATCCCCACTCCCAGATTCAAACACAGATCCAGCTCCATCTCGAATTCAATCCGAGAGAAGGAAATGCCAAGAGACAACAAGTCAAAGCCCATCTCGACGATAAAGATACGACCGATGAATGCATGCCAAAATCAATCGAGGCCTTTTCCAAATGTCCCAATTGTTCAACAAAAAATGGCTCACAAACCAGAAGAGCAAGTATAGATACATAAAAAATTTATTCTAAAAAAAAACTATATATATATATGTATATATATACATATATATGCAGTGCTCGATGTGTGGTTGATGAGTCAGAATGCAGTGTCATACTGAAAAGTAAGTTACATAGGGGGAGAGTCAACAAGATAATGAATTACAAATAACTGCGTCGCGGTAAGATGCGAGCAGCTTCAGCGCCCAAACGTACCAACTAGGGGAGTGGCTTCTGCGCCCCGTCATCGAAGCGAACGATTTCTACGCCCAATCGGCATTCATACCCTTTGCATCGAACGAGGAGAAATTCATATCTCGGGAATCAAAACTTACAAGCTGCTGATCGGCCAAAATGTGCAGGGGGATGGGTTTAATGGGAGGATTGGCTATTGCGTGGGATCGGTGCAAGGGCTTGCAGGCTTACGAACTACCACTAAAGCAGCGGTGGCACTACAGGGGCAGAGGGGAGAGGGGAGGAGAGGGGCCTCGAAACCCCCCGTAAACCCTCCGTTAACCCCCGTAAACCCCCTAAACCACACCCCTGAACCACCCCCCTAAACCACCCTCCCAAAACCCCCCTAAACCCCCGTAAACCCCTTAAACCCCTCTAAATTTAAGAGCCTCCGGCTCAAGCCGCCGACCCCGCTGGAGCATAGTTGAACACCATCCAAGCAGCAGGCCAGGCGGAATATTGATAGAATAAACCTCCTGCTGGCGGTTCTTGAGACTTGAGATCCTCGGGTCCTAAGCCTACTGCACACGCTCTGTTACTCACCCAACATTTCTGACACGAACAAAGAGCAGAGGCCAAGCTGGAAAATGCAACGCCTCGTCCCAAGTTCGGTCCGCAGGTGAAACAGCAAACCACCGAGCTGAAAGCACAAAATCGGGCGCAAAAGATCCCCTGACTGTGTACCTGAAACCCTAAACCCTAAACCCTAAACCCTAAACCCTAAACCCTAAACTCCTGAGCAAGCATCCCTTACAGCCTTCAAGGTGGGCTTGCTCCCGCATCTCTACGGTGAAAACGCCCTGCTCTCAGGACCTTGGGCCAAGTCCGAGACTGGCTGAGGCAGCCAGTAAAAGGGAGCGCTTCAGAAAATCACCTTCAGGGTGCGCCCAAACTGGAACTAGACGTTTGGGGGTTTAGGGTTTGGGGCTTGGGGTTGGGCAAGTTCGGGTCGAGGTCCTCTCTGTGAGGCATGGGCTTGGGTTTCAAGATTTTGTGAGTGTTTGGTGAACCCGCCGCCCGCCCACTGGCAAAACCAAGGCAAGTATCAACAGGAACGATGCTACACTGATAACTCCTGATATATAACTCCTCAGCAAACGACACCCATTGGTTCAGGGTTGGAGGTTGACAAGCCTTGAATGTTACAAACTCCGAATCTTCGACCGAAGCAAATCTGGTAGACTCGATTCCAACGCAACGCATGCAAGGACGCAGATGGTTCCCGTTTACTGGCGATGCAATTCTACCCTAAACTTTAGCGTGCGCAAGCCCGCAGCCCTCCCATTGGTCCTCCTCAAGACCAGCGTTGGCTGCGTCACCGCCGTCCTTAGCGTCGACGTCGTTGGCGGCGACTTCGGCGGCGGCGACGTTGTCGTCAGAGGGTGATGACGGACTTGTCAACGTCCGACTTGTCAAAGTCCACGACCATGATGGCATAGTTGAGCTGTCCTGATTTCGCAAGTTTCCTGCAGGAAACAAGGTTGAAATCTCAACGTGTTGGGCTTTTTGAAGTATCATAAAAGTCAAAAACGGGATTATATATCGATTACTATACCAAAACTGGTTAAAGACCACTGGCTGCAATACCCCGTGGCTTCTCCAGGCTGCTCATGTTCCGCAAGCCTTCAGGGACACAGCGACATCTTGGCCGCAAACACACTGCCCGAAGCCTTCAAATAAGGAATGCATCTTCTAATTCACTCGGTCAGAAGGTTCAGAGGGTTCGGGAACATCGCAACTGTACGGCCTTGTTTCCTTTTACTCAGGTTCGGCAGACCTCCAAAAGGCTAGCCAAACGTTGGTGCTTCGACGGTTTTGCATTCAGAGGCAAGTCAGGAGACGTTTGCGAAGTCGATCGCGGGGTCTTCGAAAATGCGGACCCTGCTTCTTCATATATACCTACGCACTCACAATACCAGTAGAACAGCTAACAACCCAACTCGAAGTGCTTAGGTTCCTACAACGCGGTCCTTCGGCAAATATGCTCCATCTGCTGCTGAAGGAGTGTTTCAGAGAGCTGCGGCGTGTACGGGAGCGCCAAAGAGCTACAGAGCTTCTTGTAAATAGTCGAAAGCTCTGGATTCTGTAGGCCACTATAGAAATTGGACGTAGGGAAATCGAAGGAACCGTCATTGACAACCACTTTTCTCCAGCTCTCCATTTCTGTCGAAAGGACCAGCTCGGCAAACTCCTCTTCGGCAAGGAGCCCTTGAGTAAGGACAATCACCATCTGCGTGGCATTCTTCGCCTGCTTGACTTCTTCCGCATGCCGAACTGTGTAGACAGGACAATGAAGCTTGATTTGCAGAATCTGCTGCATGATAAGCATGGAGGAGACCGATTCTGGCCCAGCACCTCCAAGCACGAAAAAAAGCAAAAAGCAACCTAAACTTCTTCCCCGCATCCATCTACATCCATCTACAAATCTACATCCACCTACATCCATCTACATCCACCTACGTCCATCTACATCCATCGACATCCATCCACGTCCTACACGATTACTACAGGTTACAAAAACACCCCTTTTTGCAAAACCCAAACTCGAACCTCCACACACCAGCAGTCGAGCCCTTGCCACAGAGCCCTGAGAGGCTTCCCTGAGCACTGGACATCCGCTGACCTTAGGTGCGGAGTTGACATCTGCCAAGGCACATTCTGAACAGTGCGAGGTGTAGTGGAACCCAGGATTCGTACTTTGCCCGCTGTGCAGAGTAGTCCAGGCCAATTCAGAGAACTGGTTGTCTATCTGTTTATACACACGTAATGTGTGGAAGTTTGCTGTCCAGGCGAAAGTATCCCTAATCGAACCTTCACAAGGAGCCACCCACCCAGCTACTGCACTTACGTGATGCCCCCTGGTGCAGGGGTGGAACGTGAAACACTCAGTGGAAGCGGGCATCTCTGGCGGCAAAATGTTGATGAGTTGGCAAGCATGCCTCCAGAACATTGCACTTGATTGCACTTGAGCGACGTGGTATGGATGTCCGCAGCCATACATTTTGCGGCTATAACTCGAGCTTCCTTGACATAAGCTACCAGACCCTAATCACCCCTATAAACCTGCAGGGAAGAGTCCTAATCACCCCTATAAGCCTGCAGGTAAGAGTCCTCATCACCCCTATAAACCTGCAAGTAAGAGTCATTCTGCAGGATCTTGATGATGGCGGCCTCCTGCTTCAAGGCGCTGAAGGTGCGAAGGAGCGGTACGTGTGGAAGCTTCAGCACATGAGCCACGGCCTCCTGAAAGGGCTTGGAGTCTTTGGTTCAGGGCTTGGGGCACCGAGGGAATAGTGGGTTCTGAAGAGGGCCATGATGAAGGCAACCATGTGTATATCTACACAGATATATATATATATATATATATATATGAATACATATATATATATATATATACATATATCATATATACATATATATACATATATACATATATACATATATACATATATACATATATACATATATACATATATACATATATACATATATACATATATACATACATACAAATATACAAATATACAAATATACACATATACATATATACATATATATATATACATATATATACATATATACATATATACATATACACATATATACATATATACATATATACATATATACATATATACATATATACATATATACATATCTACATATATACATATACATATATACATATATACATATATACATATATACATATGTACATATGTACATATATACATATATACATATATGCACATATGCACATTTGCACATATGCACATATATGCACATATGCACATTTGCACATATATGCACATATGCACATATGCACATATACATGAGACTGTATGTAGAATGTCTGGAATAGGTGGCAGCTTATCATTTCATTAAAAGGCCAGGTCATTCGCTAGCATTGCTTTGAGAGTTGATTGGTTTACTTAAAGCTCCAAACAAATAGCTTTTTGTGTTTTAGGTATTCTGTTTATCTTCATTCGTTAAACAGCAAAGAACTTGCATTTTGGCCCTTAGTTCATACTTGCATTAACTCATGCAGGACCCCACTGCTATTGCTGAGGCAGGGACTTAATTGCCGTATGGTTTCGTTGAAGGCCAATATTCCTGGATTTTCTAGTTAAGAACATCGCCATTTAAGTTACACAGCTAGTTAAACTCAGAGAATGTTCACACATTTTCGCGAATTTCATTTAGGGAGAGACGTACTCAGCATAGCTTAACCCTCTTTGTTCGCTAGTTAACAATGGATATAAAAAAAGACACGAACGCATGTAAGGATTCCTTCGCTAATGCCAAAGTAGGCCGATTTGCTCTACTTTCAGGGGTTCAGGGCTTCGGGATTATGGTGAATTGCCGCCGACCTGCCACATTCTGAAGAACTGAAGTCTACCCGCCCATTCGACCAACCCTACTTGGAGCCTCAGATTATTTAGAACTGAAAACCTAAACGGCACTCATGATCCGATGATATGGCCCCTAACTGTAGTTATCCTCCAGAAAAGCCCGAACGACACGAAAGACCCAAGCCCATAACCGCCACAACAGCCATAGCAGCATCAAGGGCCCAACCCGGCCTTGATGTCCTCCAACGACAACCCATTGCTGTGCAACTGAAGAAGCCTTGGCTGCTAACTTCATCCGTCTTCAACGCATACGACGTAGACCCGTACTTGCCCTTTAAGAAGTGAGAAGTTTGCAGGGATCCGGTATATCCGGTATTGTTTCATTTTCAGGAAGAGACCATCAAACATCTTGGGCTCATCGTGACTTAGGGGCACCCCTTAGGTTAAGTATTGGGAACTTCTGATCCCTGGCCCCAACCGGACCCTCTGCGTCGAGACTTCGAGTTGGGCTATGCCGTAGAGAACTAAGAAATTCGATTGCAAGCTTCGCGCGAGCATCGTGGAAGCTCCTAGACCCGTAGTGTTTGCCACAGTCGAGGAACAAGCTGCATGCCACTGATGTAGTTTCATAGTTTCTCTGGACAGGCAAATGCTCGAGAGTCGAGTACGGAAGACTCTCTGCTTGAACAGGAAAAGCGCAAACTGGGATCGCACGGATGCTAAGACATGTGCAGAGAGGAGTTGTAAAAAGGTTTCAAAAAGGTGTGAAAAGGTTTCAAAAGGTTTTGAAAGGTTTTAAAAGGTTTTAAAAGCAGAGGGAAGGAGACCCCCCAAGCTGCATCGACCTGCTGCCAAGATGCTGCTCTTCGGGCCAGCGGCTTGCAGTCAGATCCTTACTCAAGAAGACTTTCAACCCTAAACCTATTTAGGGTTTAGGGTTTAGGGTTTAGGGTTGAGGGTTTAGGGTTGAGGGTTGAGGGTTGAGGGTTTAGGGTTTAGGGCTTAGGGCTTAGGGCTTAGGGCTTAGGGCTTAGGGCTTAGGGCTTAGGGCTTAGGGCTTAGGGCTTAGGGCTTAGGGCTTAGGGCTTAGGGCTTAGGGCCCCTTCTGAAGCAGAAGCACACCTCAGCCCCGACGCCTAAATCGCAAGGACGTGCCGAATGCGACCTGAGATCCATGAAGTCATCGTCAACACACGGAAGGTCGTCGCAAGATAGCACCTTTTGGCTTATTAGGGCTTGTCCAGGCAAAGGGGGTTCAAAGCCCTAAACCCTAAACCCTAAACCCTAAAACCCTAAAACCCCAAACCCTTTTGGCAACAGATGCTTCGACACTAAGACATGCCTCTGGAGCTTGTTTGCTCAGACTCCCAAACCTGAAACAAGCTCCTGCTTCCGAGCTGCGAGCATTGGAACATTGTTTGCCATTGCTACTGCCATTTCAGCAGTGCACCAGAAACTGCTGAAGACGTTGCTACTTAGCACTGCCAAAAAGGAGTCCGTGTCGTTCTTCACAATGCCAAACAGCGAATCCAAATCACGAAGGTTATCTGCGTCGTAAAAGACACGAAAGTCCGGCGCCAACTTTTCAGTCACCACCTTGATATACCGACAAAGATAACTCGCGGACCCCTTGTGATGAGACAGGAACAGCGTGTACCTGTTTGATCGACTCCGCTTGGACAAGACCGCGCACACGGCGGCGCCGACAAAGCACACTGGCACGCCAAAAAACGCGATTGTCATAGAAATCGAGAGCTGGGTAGCAGCGCCCTTGTCCTGCACAGAAACTCAGTCACACAAGAAAAAACCATCCTGATTTGAGCTTTGCATCTGAGCTTCGCATTTAAGCTTCGCGTGTGCTTTCTTCCTCCTTCAACTCCAGCAAGGGCGTGGCCAAGCTGAAGAAAAGCAAAATGCAGCCAGACAGCAGCAGCTCACTCCAGTTGACTGCGTCGAATCTCCAAGGCCACCACAAACAATGCAGCACTTGCCTGCACACAGCGGGAACCCCAGAACCCCATACAACATGACATAAGAATCCCAAGACCTGAACCCTTTCAAAGTCCCTGTAGGCAAAGAAGAACTCCGAAGATTCCGAAAAGCAGAGTCCAGCTGCTTGACCCACAGAAGCACGCACATGGCGGCAATCTGTGGCGCTACTGGCAAGCAGACCGGTACAATGGCGATGAGGAAGTTCAGGACCGTAAAGAGCAGGCAGAATTGATATCTCTCTGGCCGGAAGCGTCCAAACAAGAAGTGAACACTTTGCAAGGTTTCAACTCCTCTGTCCTCGGCTTTCAAGCACCAAGCACGTGCAAAGCCGACGGCACGTCACGGAAGGCTTAGAGGTCTTAGGTCTGCTGCCTGCCACACACTCTGAAGCCTGAAATTGACATGAAGTGTGGCCCCCTGCCTGAAACCCCAATTCCAAAACCTCCCAGGGGCTCAGCTCGCTGTTGTGGACGCTGCAGCGACAAGTGGCGGGCGAATGCTGGGATGCCCCCAGCCCATAAGCGCAGAAATGATGCTCATGGCTGCTCGTGAGGCTGGGGCGCCCTGCCACCAGGGCCACAAAAATCCCGGCTCGCCCTGCTTTGGAAAAAGGTGGGCCAATGATGCTCTGAAACGCCACGCCGCCAGGGGCACACAAAGCCCTGCTCCTCTGCCCATGAGGAGAAAGGCGGAGGAAGATGATGCTCATGATGCTCGTGTTGCTCCGGATGCTAGAGCCCCCGCCAGGGGCAAATCCGCCTCCCTCCCCGCCCTAGACCACTCCCTTTAAGCTAACAACTCAGCTGGGAAAGCGTCATCTAGATTTTTCTAGAGAAGTTCGCTAAGAAACCAGGATCCAACAAGACAGCGTAGTATGTAACTATCATACTCCAGAACAGCGTCAGAGCGAAGCCAGCGAGGATACTTGTACGTAACCCACAGCAATGTGCAGAGAGTCGTCGCCGGATATGCCAGGATTCCGATGACCGACAGTAGCACTAAGGTCCCGTGCTCATGTGTGTGCCAGCAAATCACCTGTGGGTGGGCTTCCAGAGTGTAGATGAGATTCCTTACTGTTGGCTAGCAGTCAATGAGGGAATCCGCCGAGGCCTCGGGCCGAAGGTGTATAGGTTGTCAGAACAGGCACCCCCTTCCAAATCCTCCCCCCACACCCAAAACCATTTTTGGGACGACCCCCCCCCCCCGCCCCCTGCCTCTCCCCCCCCGCCCCTCCCCTTTTCCCCAAAGCCACGACAGAATATTGGTGACTGGTGTGAGCACGGCCGGGGATGCATTACACGAGCCAAAGAGACCTAAACCCTAAACCTTAAACCTAAAACCTTAAGCCCGAAGCACTCAACCCTCAAACCTTCAGCCCCCCCCCCCCCCCCCCCCCCCCCCCCCCCCCCCCCCCCCCCCCCCCCCCCCCCCCCCCCCTCCCCCCTTCCCCCCTGCCCCCTTCCGCCCCACCCCCCCTACCCCCGAGGGGCCTGGCTCAACCCTACGATCAATCCAAGCCGAACCGTCTCTTGAACCCTAAACCCAAAAAAACCCTAAACCCCAAAGCGTGAACCTTGAGCCCTAAGCCCTCAATCCTAAACTAACCCTCAACCCTAAGCCCCAAACCATAAACCATAAACCCGGAACCCTAAACCCTAAACCCAACCCTTATTGCTTGAGGTCCAGCGACTTGGGCGCTGCGGAATCACCATGCTCACGCGGATGGGCTGGGCCGGGCCGAGGCGGGTCGCGTAGCGTTAAAATTAGGGCCCTATATATGCCCTTTTAAGGGGATTATGTAGGGTACCCCACTAATCCAGCAGTAAGATTCGGGTTCATCCTGCACTTCAATGGCATGACGACAGCAATCGAGATCGCTGTCAAAAGTGCCACAAGGATCACACCGTAGGTGTTCAAGAGACTCCGAAATACGTTGACGCCTCTCACGACTCTGAAAGCCGCTGCGGGCAAGCTGGACACCACGACAAAGGCAGGAAATGCCAAGAGCTGCAAGACAAAGGACGATGTTGTGAATGATGCCCCCTCAACGAAGCACGTCACACCGGTTTGGAAGCCGTCGAAAACCATGGAAAGGAATTGAATAAACACCTTGACAGGGGGTGTCCATTCAATGTCCAGCTCGCCGATTGCTTGCAGTGCTTGCATCGCAACGGCCGTCTGACCGGCCATAGTCGCAACTATCGCAACACTCAGAAGATTCCTCCTGGCACTGAAGCTGCTGAACGAAGCACATGCCAGGAAGGGCGCCAAGCTGACAGAAGCGACTATCGCTGCCACAATGAGCAAATACAGCGTCGGCACAGTCTCACCTGAATTCTGTTTGCGAGCTGTGCTACACAAGCATCTTGCCTTAGCCATGAAGGGGCTGAGCCCCAAAAAAGAAAATCTTGAGCCCAAAATAAACCCTCAACACCAGCCTCTAAACCTGGCTGCCCCAAGACCCACTGCCCAGCACCGGAATCAGTAAGCCTTGCGCTGCATTGCGTCTTCTGGGTTAAACGAGAATTGAAGGTTTGCAGGATGCTGGTGCAACCTGGGTATGACCCTCAATTGAGTCCGCGCGGCACGGTCGGCAGCCTTCATCAGGACCTGCGGCTGCTTGTCAAACGTATAGCGATGTATGGTGTGTTGAATTTGCTTCTTCACATTCTCACACTCCCAGAAGTGGACTACAACCCGAATGGAACCCAAATCACCCTGTAGGATCTCAAGAACAAGCGGATACACTGAGCGAATCTCGACCAATTACCAAAGCTTTCCTCGGAAATTGTTCTCAACCTCCAGCCTACGCCCCAAACCCGATGCAACGAATCTTTGGTGGTGGGGTCCCTGTTTCGGACAACCACCCACCTGCCCAGTACCCAAGGCGGCACACAGCACAAGCTCGACCGACACGCTCGCTCGCGCATGTTCCCAGACCACCTTTGAGGGCCAAGGTTTTGGGGCGAGGGGGATTTGGTAGGGTTAATCAACGAAGAAGGAAACCAAACAACAACAAATTCAACTACCCAAAAACATGTTCATATACAACTCGAGTCCAATTCTAGGCACCACCTAATTTTGCTTCACAGAACTGTTGCTAAAATTTGCTCTAAAATGAGGTGTCTGGGTTGAAGGTCGCAGAGCTAAACCCGAGCATCTGGGCTTATAGGGCCCTTGGGTGCGTGTAAGAGCATATGATTAGGGTTTAGGATTTAGGGTTTAGGGTTTAGGGTTTAAGGATTTAGGGTTTAGGGGTTATGGTTTAGGGTTTAGGGTTTACGTTAAACTCGAACGAGCGCCTTCTGGACAGTGCCTGGCATCCTGGCATCGGAAAACTGATAAAGGTCCAGAAGAGCCGACTTCCACCCAGAAGCCATCCTCTTGGCCTTGGATTGCATAGGGTTTAGGGTTTAGGGTTTAGGGTTTAAGGTTTAGGGTTTAGGGTTTAGGGTTTAGGGTTTAGGGTTTAGAATTAAGGGTTTTAGGTTTAGGGTTTAGGTGGGCCCAATCTCTTGCCCCTAAACGTTGAACCCTCTCCCGTGCTTCCAGAGTCGATCCTCAAGAGAAAAAGCGAAATTTCTGGAGAGGCCGGTTTGATCTTCGCGACGCATGCCCCCCATCCCCTGCCAAACAGGTGCGAAATATGGCCCCTGCCCCGTCCAACCCTCCGTTTGGACACCGGCCTTGGGCACGCTTCACCTTTCGTCGAGCATATGGCACCATGTACACCATGCACATGCATGGCATGGGCCCCACCCCCACCCACGCCGACACGCCCACCCCCACCCACGCCCTTGTGCGAAGGGGGTTTGGGGGTACAGCGACTGCCAGCGTGCTTGATCGGGGTTTGGGGAGGGGGGGTTGAGGAGGTTGGATGGTGCTGGGCTTGGGGATACACATGAAGACGAAGCCCCACAAAGACTTCATGATTTCATGCGAGTTCACTTTCGTACTAAGAAGAAATTTAGTCGGCATCTGTGCACCACACAACTCGTCGTCCCTTTCCTTACGATGCATGGATAGAAAAGCTTGCAAGTTGCAAAAGGCTCCCTACTGCACTAAGTGACGAGGTGGTAGGTCGCCTCCCTGGCACCAAAGCCCCACGGAACACGGCTCACAGCCAGAAGAGTTCCGAAAGGAGCCAGGCTCGCAGCTGCATTCGTTCTGCTCGATGGCACCGCGGATGCTTGTTGTCTTCCTATCTCCACAAACCTCGCAGAATGTAGCGGCTTCCAAGGGTTGGTATCGGCCCTGCGCACAGTCGTCACACAAGGTGGACCCAAACTGGTTGGCAAACTTACCTGGGGAACATGGGCTGCACGTCACAGCCCCAAAGGAGCTCTGCCACGAGCCGGGTGAGCAAGGTTGACATTGGGCAGTGTCTGAGATATCAAAAAACGGCGCTGAATAACTTCCCGGTTGACAGGATCGACATGTGGTGGCATTACTTCGAGAAGAAACAAAGGTCCCGTTGCCAAACAAGCCCTGGCCAGGAAAGCAGCTCGTGATGTCAGGAACCCACGAAGTCCACACGTTTGTGTTGTTCTGGATCCACTCCTTAGGAAACATCCCAGAACGTTATTCCGTTTGGGCCCAAGTTCTGTTCTTGGAAACACTGAGATCCGGAGTTTCGGGGTAGCAGTAAGCCAAATGAGAGCAGTTAGAACATGGAGGCCTTAAAGTACAGACCCTACATCATGGGTTCTTTATGACAAAGACCGCCTGAAACACACACCCCTCATGTTGACAAGACCCCAAGTCGTGCCGTTCGCTACCTGGCTTCGCAAGCCAACGAGTGCCACGTAGCCTGGCCCTGCTCCACGCGGCTGCGCATCCGGATGTTAATGGACACAAAGTCCTCTGAGGGTAGCGTTCAGCAAATGAGGCTAAGGGTATGAGGCTGAAGGGCTTCGGCATACATAGTCCTCTTGCGCAAAGTCCACCTGTTGGAGGAACTTTTGGAAATCAGGTGCCCATTGTGCGAGATCCTGGCTTGGACGTGTCAAGAGCCGAGACAAAACACAGCACCGGCTGTTGGTTTTGGACCGATAGAGCCCTACATAAGCCCTTTTGGGACTTCGCCAAGACTCTTTGTGCCCAAGCGTTGAGAGTTTGACGGGTTCGTGCATGCTGGATGCTTCTCCTGCCGCCCATTCTCTGCTACCTGTGTGGCTGGGAGGCTGGGAGGTGGCACAAAGAAGAAGAAGAAGAAGACAACAGGAGGTGACAAGGGAACAACTATGCCAGCGTAGACCCCAAACAGGTGATACCATGAGGACACGCAAGATCGTTCTCCGAAATGACGACAGCTAGTGGAAGTTCTACATCTGCAAGCACCTCCAAGGAGGTACCAGCCAACACACGTGACAACAGCTAAGAGGATTGCAACATCGACGGGCACGCGGCCTAGGCAGGAGCGCGATTTCCAACACACCTCACAAGATGCGAACCACCCTAGAACAACTCACCTGGCGAACATTCCCGAAGCCCCAGAAGCAGCAAAGTACGCGCCTGCCACGTTTTCGCGACGCCGGCCGATGAAAGCGTCAAAGACGCGCGAAAACCCTAGGCAGAGCACGACTTCCACTGAAAAGATACCACAACACACGCACGGGGGCCTCAGCGCGAGCGCAATGTGACACACTCACGAAGCCAAAAGCAGGGGATTCGCGCGACACTCCGGGGCTCTGGCAACTCCGCCGCGCGACGTCACCGATAAAAAACACCCCCACTCGGAACGTTAAAGTTTGGGATGCTCCCCCTGAAAGGAACAGGCCTTAATAGGATTCTCATCGGGGGCACTACCATCCCTAAACCCTAAACCCTAACCCCATGGGCCCCATTGAGTTGACACATTGTTTAGGGAGGAACAACACTCAGAAACCAGAATATCTCCGGTAGCGGTCAAGGTACTGTGGCTTGGAAACGAGATGTGCCTCGAAGGTATTGGAAAGTAGTTGTTTAGGTCTGGGTGTAAGTTGATGAAGACCACGTCATGCGTCAGGGGCAGACGGAAGAAGGGAGTGTCTTTGTTCAGGAAGTCGGCCAATGCTGCCCCAATGGCCAAAGGCATTTCCCATATTGTTGCCTTCTGCATCACTTCTTCAAGGTACCATGGAAAGCTGAAGTAGTCGTACAAGAGACACGGAACGCATTCCTCGACTCGGAGTTCAAGAAATAAACGCACATCGAGCCGTCCGAGCCGTCAACCCTAAAACCCGAAAGCATGACAAACAATACTCCGACAACTTCCCTACATCTACTGGTATGTCTTGATATGTTCTGGACCGGACTCGCTGGAATTCTCACGGCATGTGGGGGCCAGCCACCATCTGCTTTCGTGGCATCGTGGCTGGATGTGGGTCCCACTGGCCTCAACTGTAACGCCATCTGTATCTCCTGTAATCTGCAGATACGCTTCGAGTCGTTGTGGAAAGAAGGTGCTCCACCCAGCACACGGCACCAAATCTGACTCATTGATATCGTGAATCTTGTGAAAATACGGCAAGTACGTCGCTCTGTGGCGGACATGAAAAGAGCGATAGTAATCCAACGACAAGCCTTCCACCTCAAGAACCAAATCTGCCAATCGTTGGGAGACTGTCAGGCCTTCATAGGTCTCATATCCCTCCTTGTTCCATACGTCCAAGATTCCACCAACCCTCAGCCTTTGCACCTCCGCCAGTACAGCCTCCTGGCTTTCCAGCTGCAAGTATGCGCCCACTGCGGCGTGCGTTCTGGGGGACTTGCCTCCGCAGCGCCAGCTTGCGGATTCCGTCAGATTCTGCTCGCATCCGGCAACGAGGTACAAGGGCTCAGGCTGGCCAAACGCCTGATCAACCGTGAACTCTTCATTCATCCACACGTTTAAGCCGAGGACCTCTTCGGCAAGAATTCCCACCGCCCTGCTGTCCCATTGGTCAGGTCTTAGCACCATGATACCAAGTGGAAACACGCCGGCGTCGCTTTGTAGGTCTTTCCGCTGGCTGGGCGGGATCGCTTCTGGCAGGCAGCTTGCACTGGACATTGAAAAACACGCCTTTGTTGTCTGGCAAGCAAAATTCCTGGGAGCTCACACGAACAGACCCGAACAAACCAAAGAAAAAGTGCATTGCATCAGTGTGAGAGGCCAAGCTGCCATTGCCAGTTTCATCGTACACTTCAAGAGCACGGGCATTGCTGTGTGACGTAGCATGCTCTTGTGTATCACCATCTGCTTCCACATGTCAACATATATGTATATGTGTATCTACTTCGACATCCTCTGTAGGGCTTAGGGTGATTTGGGTTTACGGAGTTTCGGGTTACGGGTGTTTATTGCTGCCGATAAACGGGAGGTTCAGGCAGGATTTGAATGGCCTCGAGGCGACTTGATTTTACGACCACGCACACCAGCCATCCTTGAACAGAAGCGGCTGAGTGGCCCTTGGGAACTGAACCTTTAGTTTTTTGAAGTATTTGGTGGGCTCGAGTTCCGGCTGCTGTGACACATGTTTTCTCCGAGGCTACGTTGAAATGCCATCTGAAGACCGCACGAAGTGACCTTTTCATCAATGTCGGCACAGCAGACCCGGAGCCAACCTATCGCCCACTGCGACCCGAACTTCGCCTCATCTCACCTCTTTCTCAACACTGGTGTTGTAAGATCGCTCTCGCATTGGCTTGGGAAACTGATGCGGTCTGCCCACATCTTCGAAATCTTCAAGAACTAGGTGCTGAGAGGCTTGCGAGCTCTGGACAGCTGATGAAACGGAGATAGAATCGTGACGAAACAGATGTTCTCAAGAGCCCTATATAAGTTGGCTGGAGGCCACGTAGCTTAGTATGTTCAAATAACCAGGCGGCTACACTCCAGCTAATCAATGCGTCGCCCCCATGATTCGCCTCGGCTTCCTGCCGAGAAGCGTCTGGAGCAAGCCCTTCCCCCCACCCAATTTTTTGTGGCCGACCCCCCCCCCCCCGCCCCTGTGGCCCCCCTCCCCCGCCCCCCCCCCCTCTCCCTCCCCCTTGACCTTGGACCCCTTGCACGTCCTGCGTTGCACCCCTGTCCAACCGCTCAAATCAGAAACCTTCTCCGCCTCTTTGTCCCGATAAGCATCCCCCAACCAACCCTTCCCACTCGCCCGTGTGGGCGCCTCCAGGCATCATCTCACATACTGCATGCTCTGGGCCGGCCCGGCTGCCGAGGCGACGCGCGCAAGCGTTTACAATTGCTGTAAGGGGTTCCCTTCCCCGCTCTCACCCTTCTCTTCGCCCCCCGCCCTCACCGCCGCCACCTCACAACTATTTTCCTCCTTCCGTGTAGCGATACTGGGTGCACATGCTTTACATTTCATGCTTTGCACAAGCTTCCGTGGGGTTTTCTATTGGTGTTTGGGTATCATATTACATATGAACAGTCTGTACTACAAGCCAAGAACCTTAACAAAACAATTTTGGGTGGATAAAACTCTTCTCACAAGAAAACAACGTGCACGTGGACAAGAATCTGAGGCCGAACGATGTGGCATGGAACAAGAAACTTTTTAGAAATCATGATGATGGCAGCGTTTCGTTCATGAGGATGAATCTGAGGATGGTCATGATGAGATGAAACAATGACGATCCCGATGAACTACCAAAAGTCCCGCCCAATTGGCTCTGTGTTGCTTCCCGGCTTCAAAAGGCAAGCCACACAGCATTCGTCATTGCACGATTCGGTGCCTCGCCTGTATGTTAAACCCTAAACCCTAAACCCCAAACCCTAAACCCAACACCCTAAACCCTAAACCCTAAACCCCCGAAACCCTGAACCCTGGCCCTGCATCTCATACTCCGAATCGGGAAATCACACCGAATCGAACGCCAAAGAAACCGCTGGCCACTGATGTGCGAGGGGGTCATGCGTTTCTGACGACTCAGCTTCATTCTTCGAAAGCCCCTGTCTAAACGATGGAAGAACAGGCGGCTGGGACTGCCAAGCGTTTCCAGGCACGTGCAAGATGAGTAGGGTTCCAAGGATTTCGCGTTTAGGGTGTAGGGTTTAGGGTGTAAACCAGGAAAAGCTCAGCAGCGAAAATGTGGGCGCAGCTGAGGAACACTCTGGTTCGCATGCCCAGGAACATCATAGAAATGAAGTTTTACCCTCTTGGGTGGCAATAGTCTCGCATCTCTAGGCTATAGCCCCGCCAGCCCGGTAACTTTCTAGACACTATACACTGCTGGCGTTACGGCACAAAGCCTGGACAGCCCGTGCACTCGTTGGGGTCTAGCAGAATCGGAAACATCCCAAGATTGAGTCTAGAAGACGACTACCCCACACTGCGCTTGTGCTGGTCCCACGAATTCATACTCTTGTGACAACGCAGCTTCATTCTTTGAAAGGCCCCCCGTCTAAACTATGGAAGAACGGGCGGCCGAGGACTGCCAAGCACGTCCAGACACGCGGGAAGAGATTTGTGGTATACGCTCTGGCACAGCTCAGCAGCCCAAATGAGGCAGATTGCCCCAGCTTGCACTTGGGCAGCGACCTCCGTTGTGGAGACCCTCAAGATCACAAAATCGAAACGCAACAAGGCTGGGTCCTCGGACCTTACGTTCCGCGCCCCGCCGTGCTGCGTAAAAGCTGAAACCTGCGCTCAAAAGCTCGCAAGGTCGAGCTGTGGATCACAGCGCGACCACGACGGCATCCTCCTCCATACTCATGCCGGCCTCCAGCATCAGCTCTTCCAAGGCGGTGGTTTCTGAAGGGAACGTGGCAGCTGCCTGGAACAGAGTGGCTTCCGTCCCTCCCACAGCCTGCGCAGCGCTCGCCTCTGCCACCTCCGGGGAAACTTCGTCACCTCCGGAGCCGGGCTTCGGTGTCGCCGGCTGTCGTAGACACCAGGCGCAGCAGAGGAGCCACAAAACCTCGAGGCTTCCGAGGATCACGAGGACTCCCAGGTGCAAGGGTGCTTGGCGCACAGACACGGTCTCTGCCATTCCTGGGTTCTTGCTGCGAAACTACTGAAGTCCTCAGCTAACCATAGTAGGGGTTCCATGGAAAACAGGCTGCTTTCCTCGTTATCTCAACTTTCTCAAAAAGGGCCCAGGCTTCCATCTGCGAGAGCGATCGAGACCTCCCAGGCAGCGATGGAGTTCACTTGGAAGCCGGTGCCGGCCAGCTTCTGGTTGAGCAGCTCCTTCGCCCGCCCCGAAGATACCCCAAAATTTCGGAACATGCCCTGGAACTTAGACAGAAAACCTCACCCAAACCCTCAACCCTAGACAGCAAACCCTTGAAGCTCAAAAGAACAAACCTGGGGTGGTCAGCCCGAAACCCCCAACAAACACTCCTTCACCCGCGCCAGGGATGTGGATCGCATGGACTCCTCCAGCGCTTCGGCCCAGCGCCGGGCCAGCCCCGCCGAGCTCCAGAGCCTCGGAGTCCATTTAGGGTTTAGGATTCAGGGTTGAGGGTTGAGGGTTGAGGGTTGAGGGTTGAGGGTTGAGGGTTGAGGGTTGAGTTGAGGATAATAGCCATGGGCCTGGTTCTAACTAGAATAGGGTTTCTATAAAGCGTTCCTCTCTATAAGGGTCTTACTTGGCAGATTTTGCATAGGGGCCTTTGCAAAATTGAACAGGGTTTGGGGGTATAGTATACTACAGAGAGTTCAGAAACAAGCGCCCAAGCACAAATTATGCTTTACCATCAATAACAGAGGACCCCCTGAAGTTTGGTGGCTATCTCGGGGGTCCTGAGCATAAGGGTCCTGCTCTTTGGGCCTGGGCGGCCCGAGCTTCTAGAGCTTATGGCGATAGCCGAGTACACAAAGCAACGAATATCTCCATGACATGAGGAAACCAACAACACTAAGACTAATCGCGCAGGCTTCAACAGCCTTCTGCCTCGTAAAGGGGTAGAGCTACCTATAATTGCCCTGTATAATGTCCCCTTCGATAAGTATGCTACAAACAATATCTGTCAATCCAAAACACCCTACTCCTATGGCTTTGATTATTAGAACCAGGCGCCTCGGTGTGATGTAGTATACTCAGTATACTTGTCATAAGGAGCGCAAAGGAATAGTGTCTGTGCCATGCTACAGGCTTCTGGAATACGTGATGCGTTCCCAGGGGCCGGCTCGCGGCGTAGCGCGCGCGAACAAGGTCGCCTTCGGCGCGCAGCTCCAGGTGCACAGTGGACGCCTCCACCTCCAGCACCTCTGAAACTGAGCCCGAAAGACTTCAAGAGACCAGAAAGAACCTCAAGAAGGGCCCTTCCTGTTTCTGGGGGTGTAGGCGTCCGGGTTTTTGGGGGCTTCGACAACCCTTCGAAACATCAAAAGCCCCTGGACCTGCGCCAGGGCTGCCGCCAGGGCTTCCCGGGCCGTGACATCCGCGGCAAAGAGCTCTGCTCCTTGTAGCCGAAATTCCGAAAACCGAAACCTTAAACCCTAAACCCCAAACCTTAGAACTTAGAACCCTAAACCCTAAAACCCTAAAAATCCGAAGCTTAAAAGAGCTCCGCTCCTTGCAATCGGCGGCCCTCTGAGGGATTGAGCTGAAAGTCCAGGAAGCCACGGAGCCGCACCGTACCGGACCAGAAGGTGCCTTCTGCCAGGTCTTCTTGGAGGGTTTAGGGTTTAGGGTTTAGGGTTTAGGGTTTAGGGTTTAGGGTTTAGGGTTTAGGGTTTAGGGTTTAGGGTTTAGGGTTTAGGGTTTAGGGTTTAGGGTTTAGGGTTTAGGGTTTAGGGTTTAGGGTTTAGGGTTTAGGGTTTAGGGTTTGGGGGGAGGGCTCAAGGCCTTCTTCCACATCTTCTTCAAGGTTCTATTTTTGTTTGTAGGGCTCTGTACGGTGATACATAACTCCCGATTCTCTCTGGGCTTGCTTAAGGATCCCTGACAGAATCCTGCTTCTGACATTCTACCAGATCTTGTTCGGGAGTTGGAACTTGGGGAGATGGAGTTTAAGGATTTGCAATCTAGGGGAATCAAAGCTTGGCCGCGTAGTAACCCACGGTATGAGTGTATGGGTTACCAGGAACCAAAGTGTTTCACATTCTTGGAACAGGCGCTGGTGGTGGCGGTGGCAGTTGTGGTGACCGTCAGGGTGGTCGGGGAGCAGCTTGGCAGGTCTCCAGTCAAAGCGCCAGTGGGGCTGCAGGACAGGGATGCCTTGTAAGGCTTTGGGGCTTTAAGGCCTCTTTTGGATTTCTGTAAGGGTTCAGAAGGTTCTACAATTCAACATGGGCTTTATAGGGAGAAGGGTTCGGGATTGAGGATTCTTGAGACACCTTTCTACGGCGGTTTTGTTCACAGATCCAACAGAAGAAGTTGTTTCTAAACCCCGCTGAAGCAGCAGGATCGCCAAGCCATCCGAAGGAGCAGCTGACCTCGCAAGTGCCATCGGTGGAGATGTTGTGGCAGTTGTGCGAATACTCCGTTCCCAGGGGGATGTTGTATCTGCACTTCTTGGGAATGCATTCAGGAACATCGCCTCTGAGAACGTATCCGTCGACGATTGGAAGGTTCGTGTCAACAATTGGTTCGGCACTACCGGAGCCTGAACAGGTCCATTGCACCACGCCTGGCGTGCTGGCAAAGCCGTTTCGGCAGAAGGCAAAGCAAGTACCACCAGCGGTGACGCCCCCGCAGGAGTGCTCCAGATTTGGAATGCTGATGGTGCCATTACATTCCACCGGCGCGCATTGCGGTCGTTGGCCTGCGTCAAGGCTGAGGTCCACCATGCAGGTGAAGGTGGCACTGGAAGCTTCAGGTTCTGCAGCCTTGAATCCCGGGCTGCACGTCTGCATACACTCTGAGCCCACTGGCAAACCGTCCGTGCAGTTATCCTGAACAGCCTGACTAGAGGGTAAGTCCATGGAGCAGGTGAGCGCCTCACAGCTGGGCAAGCTGCCCGAGAGCCTGAGCTCCCAGAGCCCAGAGCCAAGGACGCAGTCCCAGACCTCCCCTACGCTTCCCGAGGTCAGCTTGTAGCCCTCCGCGCAGAAGACGGAGCAACTCCGCCCAAAGGCCACGTCCTGGCAATCGTGGGCAAGCGACGGCCTCTGGAGGGACGGAGCTTGAGGGCAAAGGTCCGGGATGCAGGTCGGCAGCGGGCCAACGAGCACGCCCATGAGGTGGCAAACTAGCTGCGCAGAGTTGGGGACCATGCCCAAGACGCAGCTCACGTTGCAGCTGGAGCCCGTGGTGATGCCATCGCAGTCGGAATCGAAGCCCTCGGGGACGGAGTTGACGCAGCGCTTCGGATCGCACCGAGGCTCCGTGCCTTCGATGTCTCCGCTGGCCGAGCACCGGAACTCGGCGGCAGCGCCCACCAGGGAGAAGCCCTCAGCCTGAGTTCAGGAACTGGGTCTGGGCTACCGTAATGGGGTTTAGGGCCGGTTCCGGAAATTAGAACCATAAAAACACGTGAACACATGATAGCACGAAGAATGCTGACAATCATACTATGTTCTCCAGTGAAATCAACTTCTCTAAACAGAACCCAGCAGCACAAGTGACGCTGCAGGAGTCTCCATAGACCATGTTCCGGCAGTGGTGCTCGAAGCGGGATGCCAGCGTCAAGTCACGGCACGCAGCTGGGACACAGCTTGGACTTTGCCCTTGAAACTCACCTGTGGGGAGACATTCAAAAGTCTCTGCCCCGAACCCAGAAGCGAAAGTGAAGCCCTCCGCTGAACAGGTTGCAACACACGTACCGCCAGTGGCGATGCCGCTGCAGTTGTGCTTTGCTCCGATGCTGTTCGGCAAGTTGTAGTTGCAGGGCACGGGGTCACACTGCGGAATGTTGCCATCAAGGCGTCCGTCTTTGCACTGAAGCACTGAAGCATTGCCGGTCAACGACCAGCCCAGGCTGCAATGGCTGATGCACACGTCTTCGTGCGCCATCGATGAGCAGCTGTGCTCGAACTCCGCAGCTTGCAAGCCTACCGTCTCGGCAGCCGAGGTAGCACAGCCGGAAGCAGCGGTCAAACGCCTGGCACTGGCAGTGCAAAGGACATCTTGCGCCAAAGGCTCCACACGAACAACGCCCAGGGTGCTGTTCGCCACGCAATGATAGGGCTGCGGGCTCCCCGTGTAGCCTGCCAAGCAATAGGCCCAGCACTCCGCCCCGATGCTCTTGTTCTCACAGGTGCTGCTGACCCCCAAACCGAAGGACGGAGTTTGGCACACAGCGGCCTGGATGCTGGGTAGGGATCCTTTGAACTCTCCATCGATGCCGCAGTGTAGGGTGCTGGAGTTCCTGGAGCCTTCAAGAGCGATGAAGCCCAGCGCAGGCTCCACCGTGCAGCTCTGCAGCGTGGTCTTGCCCACACAGTCGTGGACGACACCTCGCAAGCCTGGCAGCCCCGCCCTGCACTCCCTGGCCGCACAGGTGGGCGCTAGAGAGCCGCCAGCAGGCAGCAAGGTCAGGGCCTCCACGTAGCCGGTTTGGCAGAGCATCACGGTCGCATTGCCCTGCAAGTCCCAACCCGTCCCGCAAGTCACCGAGCAAGTCTGGCCGAAGCTCTTCTCTTCACAAGTGTGCAGGAATCTTGGAAGCGAGAAAGGAGCATGGTCCGAGAGGTTGCCGCAAACACTCGGCTCACATCGGAAGGGGCTGCTAGCCTGCAAGAAGGTCCCATCACTTTGGCAAGTCATGGTGGGGTCTCCGACCCCCTGGAATCCAAAGCTGCATTGCAAGGCACAGCTGCTCCCAGTGGTCGTCCCTTCGCATGCAGAGGTGTTCAGCCCCGGGCCCATGGAGATTCCCGAAAGAGTGCATGGCAGCGCTGCACACGCTGGCATCTGCCCGATCAGCAGCCCGTTCTCGCAGAGAAATTCTGTGGGAACTCCTGAGTGCCCGGCCCTGCACGCGGCCACACACGTCTGCCCATGCAGCTTCCCTGGGCAGTCTGTTGCGAAGGCACTGGAGGACAGGGCACTGGGCACAGGGCACTCCTTGCGAGCGCAGCTTGGCGTGGTCAGAACCTGGAAGAGTGCGGTGTCTTGGCAAGCGTAGGCTCCTCCTTGGCCGTCGTGGCCGAAGTTGCAGCTCACTTCGCAGCTGTTGCCAGCGGTGGTGCCAATGCAGCTCGTGACGTTGAGGCTCGAGTCCTGTGGCAAGGCGTCCATACTGCACTGAATCGGCGCACAGGTCGGAACCGTGCCGGAGAAGTTCCCAGTGCCCAGGCAAGTGAAGATGGACTCGGCACTCAGGAAGCCTGCAGGGCAGCGAACGAAGCAGAAGGAGTCGAGCTCGGTGCTTCCGCAATCGCTGATGTCGAAACCTCCCGGCAAGGATGAGCTCGGGCACGTAGCCGGCGAGCAGGATAGAGTCGGACCAGCGAAGATGCCCGAGAAGCTGCAAACAAACTCTGCCGGGCCACCTTCGAAGCCGGCGTCGCACGTCGCCGTGCATGTCTCCCCCGAGACCTTCCCGAAACAATCGCTCACCACCACACCTCTGAGCTTCCGATAGCAGGGGACCCTAGTGTAAAGCTACACAAGGGCAACGCGATCCTAGCACGATACAAGCAGAAGGCTGACTAGAAGAACCTCAGCTGAGAGCCCTCACTTTAAGACTCCCCCACCTGGACCTGAGGGAAGCCCTCCACTGCAAGGGACGACTGGTGGGGCCGTTGGTGGGGCCGCATTCGGATCTGCGGTGACAGACGCCGTGGTCGAGGATGTGGTTGATGACAAGGTCGACGTCAGGGTGGACGTCTTGGTGGTAGTTGAAAAAGTTGAGGTGGATGTGGTGGTGGACGATGTGAAACTTGAGGTTGTCGTTGATGTGTTTGTGAGGGACGTTGAAGAACTGGAGCTGGTAGACGACGTGCTGCTGCTGGAGGATGTCGCAGTCGTGGAGCTGCTTCGGGTAACCGATGTAGTGGATATGCTGGATGTCGTCGTCGTGGAACTGCTTTGCGTTGACGTCGTCGTAGATACGGTGCTGCTTGAAGTCGCCGTGGCGCTGGTGGACGATGTCGTTGTCGAGGAGCTGCTTTGTGTAGACGTCGTCGTAGACCCAGTGCTGCTTGAAGTCGCCGTGGTGCTGGTGGACGAAGTCGTTGTCAGGGATATCGTTGTCGAGGAGCTGCTACTTGTCGATGATGTTTCGGATGTAGTCGTGGACGTGGTGCTTGAACTTGACGATGCAGTCGTGCTTGTGGAGGTTACGCTTGTTCCCGTCGACGTAGTCTTCGTGGAGGTAGTTTGTGTTGACGAAGTGCCCGTACTTGACGTCTCGGTGATGGAGCTCGAAGTCGAGCTGGTCGATATCGTGACAGACGTATATGTCGCGGTTGATGAAGTATCTGTCACGGATGTCGCCGATGAGGAGGTCAGCGTTTGGCTGGTTGAACTCAGCGTTGTCTGAGTCATGCTTGTTGACGTCTCTGTGGTCGTAGTTGTCGTGAGCAACTGCACGAACGCATCCAGCTCTCCGTATGAGTTTGTATCCTGTGGGTCAAACTCCGTGCCTCCAACCAAGTAAATGTCACCGTTGGACCTCTCAACGAATCCTTTGCCCTCATCAAGTCTATCACTCCCGATGAACTCGGTCGAGACATGGGTCGGCGACACGGTGCTTGAGAGGTCCTCGTATTCCACGACAAAAGCATCAGTGTTTCCCAGAGGGGTAGCTCCATCGAAGCCGGTGTTAAACGCCGTGGTGCCCGCTAGCAGGATGCGGTGAGGGGTTGTGGTATACTTGACCCAGAGCCCATGGACGGTCTCATCGCTGCTGCTGCCATGTTGCCGTGTCCACTTCCAGTTGCCATTGACATCGAACTTCATGAGAAAGAAGTCATTGCCACCGAAATAGGTCTGACCATCGATGGACCCTTTAGTGTTGCCGACCACATATGCATCCCCATTGGCCTTGCTCACGTGCACCACAGCACAGTCGTCGTCTGCTGAACTCCCGCGTTGTGCAGACCACGTCTCCTCGAGGTCTGCGTTGAACTTGATCAGGAGAACATCAGAACCTCCTGCGTTGCTTTTCGACGGCCAGGTCCCGTCCGTCTTGCCGCCCAAATACAACTCGTTTGATCCATGGTGCCACAAACTGTAGACATAATCATTTCCAGTGGTTCCCAGCTGATACTTGTTGATAAGGTCCCCACTTGAACTGTACCGGTAGAAGAAGATATCATCTGCGCCAACCTGGCCTGCTACATCCCCCGCTGTGGATCCTGCCGCGTAGATTTCATTGTTGGGACTCACTGACACGGCACCAAAGAAGTCGTTGTAGGTGGTGCCCACTTGGCGTCCCCAAGCGAGGATGCCAGCAGATGTGTAAGCCATGATGACAGCATCTGAAAAGTCCTGTGTGTGGAATGTGCTTGGGGCCCCAAGATTCGTCCCGAAATCTTCCATGTCGCCGTAGGTGTAGCCTACGAGGATGATATGCGATTGGGTCTTGCCGAGCCCGGTCATGTGGCTTTTCTTCCAGGAGGTCCGGGATTTAGGCTCCAAATCCCAGTCGAAGCGTGTCATGTCAGAGTACATCCAAGTGCTGGGCGCACTGATCGGCTCTGACACTCTGCATAGGAAGCCATTGAAACTGTCACGATCGTAACTGACGCCGTCTATCCCCTGGGAGCCTCCCACAACCAAGTTGCCACCAAACTCGATGACGCACTGATCACACACGACGTCATCACGCGAGCCAGGGGTCTTCAAGTAGGTGTAGGACCATGATGCGGAGGTCCACCATGTGTCTGCTGCCACGAAGGGCAAGAGCCCAAAACATCCCAAGAGCCACATTGCAGGGCCAGGGGCCGATGATCTGCTACAGAAAACGGCTGTGATCTGCGCCAAAATGCTGCAAAAACCTGGCAAGCTACTGTGACTGTGATGTGTCAGACATGCCCGTCATGACAACGGAGGCCCCTAGCACCGACGATCATCGTCATGACAAGCAAAGTCAAACTACCGACAAGAAGAAAAAATCTGCAGAGTTTCCAGGCCTTGCTGCGAATGAAGTGCTGCGTGCGCGTTACACTTTCGCAGCTGAGGGATTGTTTAAGGTTTAAGGGTCAGAGCTTGGGTTCAAGAAACAGAAACATCTGATGTTGCGTGAATGCTGGCCGATTTCGCTTCGCTCGTCACAAAAAGAGGTCGGCCGCCTTCTCCTGGCGACCCGTGGCAGGTGGGGGAACTGCAGGGAGTCCGAGCTTAGCGCCTCTAGTCACAGCAAGACCTCTTATTTCCCAGAGCTGCTACATGCTCGTATATATAAATGAAATCTCAAAAATTTATATGTATTCTCAAAGGATGTTTCATATGCTTAGGGCAACGCATACAAACACGCCCTAGAGACCTTATATAGTGGGACACTAAGCAAATTTGTGCTCAAGTGTGAGCTCCAGAGAGACTTCAAGGATTGCCGATAAGGAAATAAGAATTCGACCAACGCTCTTGCTGTCCATTTTTCACTGAGGGGCGAAGGCGTCCATGCCTGAGTAACGAAGAATCCCAGACCGTCCAGGCGAGAGCCTTTGAACAAGTCTGGACCTCCACACCCCGACTTCACGTTAAAAAGGGAATGGGCGGGCGGGCAAACAAAATTCCTCGAGAGGATTCGGAGTAAGGGGAAAACCCACCTCCCACCCTGGGCCCAAAGATTGCCATGCATCTTCACTTTTCAACTGTGACATGAAGGCATGAAGCAAGGGAAGAAATCAAAGTAAAACTCGCATGTTGAAATTACCAATGTAATTTCAAAACACAGCCTTTGAAAATAAAACTTCATCACCTTCGGTGAGTTCCGTCTTATTTCCCACAGCTGCTACATGCTCGCATATATAAATGAAATCTCAAAAACTTATATGTATTCTCAAAGGATGTTTCATATGCTTAGGGCAACGCATACAAACACGCCCTAGAGACCTTATATAGTGGGACATTAAGCAAATTTGTGCTCAAGTGTGAGCTCCAGAGAGACTTCAAGGATTGCCGATAAGGAAATAAGAATTCGACCAACGCTCTTGCTGTCCATTTTTCACTGAGGGGCGAAGGCGTCCATGCTTGAGTAACGAAGAATCCCAGACCGTCCAGGCGAGAGCCTTTGAACAAGTCTGGACCTCCACACCCCTCGAACAGGTACAGCTGCATCAAGGCTTGAGTGAGCGGAGTCGAGTTCTGGCTGCACTTGGGAGGTTGCGCACAAAGGGGCATCGGCGGGGTTGCACTGACTGGCAACCCATTCGAACCAGAAGCATATGTCATGGGACTCTTCCAGTTCTATGAGCTTGGAAAGAAGTGCAGCAGCCACTTCACCATCGGCGCGCCCGCCGATTAGGCACGCAAGAGCAGCTTCATTGTCGCAGAAGAGAACCACATCGTGGTGCCGAGTATTCCTGAGAAGGTCTTTAGCACCACGAATGGCGGCAAAAAGTTCGAGCTCGTATATGATTCCTTCTTTGTCTTGGCTTCCGAACGGAACAAGGTCCTCGCCTGACAACCACTCAGAGAACCACTCCAAGATCTGACCAGATGATGCCTCCAAGTCCGCCTCCTTCGGCCTCGTGAGAAACATCTGTGAAAATGCACAGCTTCTTCCTCACTTTCGCCTCTATGCGTCGAGGCTCTGCCAGGAGGACTCTGTCACGAAGAAACAGCAAGGCATGAAGGATATCGCCTTTCACAGCAACCTGTTTCTTTCGAGCACTGGCACGAGTGAGAGTGAAGAAGCACTGCCGAGACCGCCGACCAAAGACTTGATTGTCGGCGAACATCAAACGACCACGCAGCATGGCCACTTCATGCGCGCTGGCCGAGCCTGTATTGACCATCTTGTCGATCAGCGCGGCAACGTTCTTCTTGCGATGTTCGGTGTTGCTTACCGACAGAAGACCAGCCTTTATGTCACGAAAGGAGACTACTACGCCTAGAACGCGAGGCAACTGAAACCTGCATCTTTGTCTGACGAGGTTTCCCAACCAAGCAAACAGAGCGCTGCACCCAAATGAAGGTGCTCCGATTCGTCGCGGCCCAACGCCTCGAAGGGTCACACGAGAGTGCGATAAGCTGCAGGAGCCTTGCAAACGGGATTATATGCGCAAAGGTCAGCATCTGGGAGTGAAGCGGCAAAATGGGAGTTGTTTGTAGTCTTTCTAAGGTCTATTGTTCGAGCAAACAAAGTCCTCAGGGCTCGAGGCAGCAGAGCAAACGAGAATGTGCACAAATGCCGCAAGCAATGACGTCGATGCTGTGCGGATCAATGCTCTTGTCACTGGAGTTAGTCAGGTTCACCTGAGTTTCTGTGTAGTCGTCGATGAGACTTGATCGACCACCGTGCCATTGCCTTAGCTGGTCTGATTGACTTTGAAACGTTCTACAGGCCAGCAGCGTCTGCGGGCAACCTGCAGACCCTGTCGCACGCCGCCCCTACAGACCCCACAGCAAGCCTACAAAACCTCCTGCCTTCCTTTTTTCCACCCACATGGCTTCCAGTCTTTAATTACTGCATTTTCCTGCATTTACACAGAGTCCATTTTCCCTTGTCACAAAAAGGCTTGAAGGTTCCAGAGTCACAATTCCCCCAAGGTTTGTAAACTTCTTGCTTCCTTTGTAAGCTTACTGAACCGGCTTCATTTTGCAACAATTAGCATTTTCTTGAACGTGCGGACCATGTGCATGTTGATTTGCGTAACAATCATGTCATTGGCCAAACCTTGTTCAGGCATTTCTAATTTTACTGGAGGTAAAATCATTGTCAAGAGTCCAGGTGGTGCGGCCAGCTCCTCAGGTTGTAACTCCTTGGCGGCGCTTGCAAGTTGCCAGTGGTGGCGTTCTTCGTGCAGGTTTCAGCTGCCTGGGCATGATAAGACATTGGCCAACTGGCGAACCAAAATTGGACTTGTCTCAAACTACTTCCAGCTTCAAGGTTGCACCCTTTGTAACATTTAAAATTTGTCAACTTTTCTGTGGCACTGGTGGAGTTTGTGCACAATGACACTGCTCTGACGGCCCTGTAGCCAAGTGGCTTCTGCAAAGGTTCAGCGTGTTTTTCGCAGATTGCTTCAAGACACCTAAAGAATTTATGTTGCAGACGTGCGCAAAGCTGTGCGTCCGTCACTCGTCGTCGCACAGAGGTGCTTTGAAAGTGGACTCTTAGAGCGCAAGAGTGCAAATCCTTTACCTTGCCGTGTTTAATGTCATGCCACAAAGCACCTTTGCTACTCACCCCTGCCAAGGTTCGCAAGTCTTCCGCTGAAGTTGGCAAGCCATCTGGAACTTCAAGCCACTCCCGTTGATAAAATTGCCCATGAGATTTATCGCTTGACCCTTGAGAAGGCCCAAAAGAAATGGTTGCAAGGTCCACTGCAGGAGTCTTTCCCAGCTGGCTCGTTCCGCATGCTTGCTGCAGGTCTGCAGGGTCTGCAGGTTGCTGCAGTGTCATGCAGAGTCTGCAGAACGCATAAGCAGCGCAGCCCGACCTTGAGAACCACCTTGAAATCGCAAGGACTTGGAGCCTGAAGAGCCTGGAAAAGGATGCTTGTCTCCGGTCACACCCTTGCGTGTGCCTCCGAGCCCCCAATGGCAATGTTGGATGCCGAAGGTCGGTCTGACATGACCAACGTGTTGCAACATTGCCATTGGGGAAAGGGGATTTTCGACAACACTTATTGATTTGGGACAAGGTAGGCCCTTTGCTGGGGGTTTGGAGAATGTGCCTCAAGTGAAGCCAAATCCGACCCCAGAAAGACACAAGAAGCGTAGGACACGTTTGAGTGCCCCCGCAGTTGCAATTCAGCTTGTCATGTACAACACTTGTTCCGTTTTTTACGCTATTGCCAACAGTCTTAAGCGACCGCTGACTATCTTTCACGGCCCATTCTGGGGTCCTATTTTTGGGCACCAAAGCGAAGCCCGAAATGGGATCTTCTCTAAGAGTTTCGAATCCGGCAGACCCAGTTTGGGACCCAATTTCTGGCCTCAAAATGAGGGCCAAAAACTGTGCGATTTCTGATGAGAAGACACACTTTTGAAGCTCGCCGAAATTTTGCCCGACGTGAGGACCGCTCCCGACATAAGACAATAAAAATGCACCGCTGCGTGGCAAGCGGTCGGTGGTGGGCCTGTACTTGTTCATATAGGCGCCATTCAGGTTGCCACTGGGGGGGTACTCTGATGCGTCCTATGTTTCTCGTCGTTTGTCGGTCCTGAATGTGGACCCGCGCGATACCACGTTTTCAGCGATTTTTCCAACGGGCAGCCCGCAAAAGTTGGAAAAAAGGCTCTGGGAGGTCCTGATGAGGTTTTGGAGCCCTTGAAGGGGATTGTGAGGCCTTACTTGAGTATTTGAAAGACTGGTAAACCGTATAACCCTTGAGAAAGCGCGTGTAGCAGACCTGTACACGAGTACTACACTCAAAAAATGCGGGAAAACAGCGTGTAGTACCTTGATTCCAAGTAGAAACATTACATGAACCTTAAAGTTTTGAAAAAACTATGCATTCATGTAGTACACTGTGGTTTTTCCCCAGCGCGGAGCGTGTAGTACCAGTTTTGATGAAATTACACCCGAGGCGAAATCCAGCTTTTCCCACAGTGCGGAGCGTGTAGTATTAGTTTTCATGAAATTAGACTGGCGGAAAAATCCAGCTTTTCCTACAGCGCGGAGCATGTGACACCTGGTTTTTAATTTGCAGTTCTACAGGTCAGGGGCTTTCAAGCTTCCTGCAGACTCTGGGGCCTTCAAGCCTTTGTGTTTACAAGGGGAAATGGACTCTGTGTGAATGCAGGAAAATGCCCAAGTAATTGAAGACTGGAAGCCATGCGGGCTGGGGGAGAGGCAGGCAGCAGGTTTTGCAGGCTTGCTGTAGGGTCTGTAGGGGCGGCGTGCGGCAGGGTCTGCAGGTTGCCCGCAGGCGCTGCTGGCCTGCAGGCTGCTGCAGGGTCTGCAGGCTTGCCGACAGCCTACAGACCCTGCAGCTGTAGGCTTGCTGCAGGGGTCTGCAGGCTTGCTGCATCAGGCTGCTGCAGGGCCTGCAGGCTTGCTGCAGAGTCCGCATGCTTGCTGCAGGTCTGCAGGGTCTGCAGGTTGCTGCAGTGTTACATGCAGGGTCTGCAGAACGCAGTAAGCAGCGCAGCCCGACCTTGAGAGCTACCTTGAAATCGCAAGGACTTGGAGCCTGAAGAGCCTGGAAAAGGATGCTTGTCTGTGCCCCCGAGCCCCCAATGGCAATGTTGGATGCCGAAGGTCGGTCTGACATGACCAACGTGTTGCAACATTGCCATTGGGGAAAGGGGATTTTCGACAACACTTATTGATTTGGGACAAGGTAGGCCCTTTGCTGGGGGTTTGGAGAATGTGCCTCAAGTGAAGCCAAATCCGACCCCAGAAAGACACAAGAAGCGTAGGACACGTTTGAGTGCCCCCGCAGTTGCAATTCAGCTTGTCATGTGCAATACTTGTTCCGTTATAACGCTATTGCCAACAGTCTTAAGCGACCGCTGACTATCTTTGCGCCCGACCCAAACATGTGGTGCATGCTTTGCGTGTCTCCGCAAAATTGAAAGCACACTTGCCACGTTTCACGGCCCATTCTGGGGTCCTATTTTTGGGCCCCAAAGCGAAGCCCGAAATGGGATCTTCTCTAAGAGTTTCGAATCAGGCAGACCCAGTTTTGGGACCCAATTTCTGGCCTCAAAATGAAGGCCAAAAACTGTGCGATTTCTGATGAGAAGACACACTTTTGAAGCTCGCCGAAATTTTGCCCGACGTGAGGACCGCTCCCGACATAAGACAATAAAAATGCACCGCTGCGTGGCAAGCGGTCGGTGGTGGGCCTGTACTTATTCATATAGGCGCCATTCAGGTTGCCACTGGGGGGGTACTCTGATGCGTCCTATGTTTCTCGTCGTTTGTCGGTCCTGAATGTGGACCCGCGCGATACCACGTTTTTCAGCGATTTTTCCAACGGGCAGCCCGCAAAAGTTGGAAAAAAGGCTCTGGGAGGTCCTGATGAGGTTTTGGAGCCCTTGAAGGGGATTGTGAGGCCTTACTTGAGTATTTGAAAGACTGGTAAACCGTATAACCCTTGAGAAAGCGCGTGTAGCAGACCTGTACACGAGTACTACACTCAAAAAATGCGGGAAAACAGCGTGTAGTACCTTGATTCCAAGTAGAAACATTACATGAACCTTAAAGTTTTGAAAAAACTATGCATTCATGTAGTACACTGTGGTTTTTCCCCAGCGCGGAGCGTGTAGTACCAGTTTTGATGAAATTACACCCGAGGCGAAATCCAGCTTTTCCCACAGTGCGGAGCGTGTAGTACTAGTTTTCATGAAATTAGACTGGCGGAAAAATCCAGCTTTTCCTACAGCGCGGAGCATGTGACACCTGGTTTTTAATTTGCAGTTCTACAGGTCAGGGGCTTTCAAGCTTCCTGCAGACTCTGGGGCCTTCAAGCCTTTGTGTTTACAAGGGGAAATGGACTCTGTGTGAATGCAGGAAAATGCCCAAGTAATTGAAGACTGGAAGCCATGCGGGCTGGGGGAGAGGCAGGCAGCAGGTTTTGCAGGCTTGCTGTAGGGTCTGTAGGGGCGGCGTGCGGCAGGGTCTGCAGGTTGCCCGCAGGCGCTGCTGGCCTGCAGGCTGCTGCAGGGTCTGCAGGCTTGCCGACAGCCTACAGACCCTGCAGCTGTAGGCTTGCTGCAGGGGTCTGCAGGCTTGCTGCATCAGGCTGCTGCAGGGCCTGCAGGCTTGCTGCAGAGTCCGCGTGCTTGCTGCAGGTCTGCAGGGTCTGCAGGTTGCTGCAGTGTTACATGCAGGGTCTGCAGAACGCAGTAAGCAGCGCAGCCCGACCTTGAGAGCTACCTTGAAATCGCAAGGATTTGGAGCCTGAAGAGCCTGGAAAAGGATGCTTGTCTCCGGTCACAAGCCCTTGCGTGTGCCCCCGAGCCCCCAATGGCAATGTTGGATGCCGAAGGTCGGTCTGACATGACCAACGTGTTGCAACATTGCCATTGGGGAAAGGGGATTTTCGACAACACTTATTGATTTGGGACAAGGTAGGCCCTTTGCTGGGGGTTTGGAGAATGTGCCTCAAGTGAAGCCAAATCCGACCCCAGAAAGACACAAGAAGCGTAGGACACGTTTGAGTGCCCCCGCAGTATTTCCGGCTGCCAACATGAAGCCCGAACAGCGGGCCTTGAGCGAATGCGCCACAAGTGAAAGCAGCTTCTTTCTCAGGCATTCCCCGCGGCGGAGCTTTGTGGAGGTTGAAAAGTGAAGCAATGTCATTCCGGGTGGGAACGTCACGAGAAGCAAGAATGTTGGAAGCCAAGGTTTCAGCCATTGGCCAAGCATCAGAAGAAGTCGAAGGCTCCACGTCGAAAGGCAAAACTAAGTCAATGACTTTAACAGGATGTGGCGGGTTCCGGACTAGGGTCTTAAACTCAAGAGGCTTCCAAAGCTTCCCAGTTTGCTGAAAACAGAGTGCGGCCTCCCGCACTTTATGCAGCAGTGAAGCCCTCTGTCCGGCAAGCCTTGCCAGGCTTTGCAAACTTGCATCCTTTTTACAATTATACGGCCAACAGACTGACTATCGAATGATGACCTCGGTTCGAGCCGAATGACGTCGTACCAGTAGCTACATGATGGTGATTTTGAAAATCTGGCAGTGTCGCAATTTGCGACTCCCCGCATGCTCAGTGCTGTATGATTGCACCGGGACTTCAACGACGACTTCGAGTACTGAGTGCGTGGGGTTACCTAGTAGTTCGGCGCCTTTGCTTGCTTTGTTGCTTCTGTTTCCTTGTTTTTGGGTGGTTGCGTGGTGTTCTTGGTGGTTTGCGCACGCTAACTTCGTTTCACCCGTT